TTCTACCGCCCGTCTATTCGCGAGCGCGGAGCGCGCGCGCGCCCCGCATTATATCGCCTTTATCGCGCCACGATTTTCGCGTCACGAATGCCCGACCCGGTTCACGACTGGACGACGACGCGCCTAGCAGACGACATTTTGCCAGTGCGCGCGCGAGCCCGCCCGAGGCGCGCCGGAAACGGCCGAGCGGCTGAACAGGGGCTGATGCGTTACGTACCGCGAATATTCAATTTGAATTCGTCCGCCGCTCGATTGTTCCATCGATATTTCAGAACTCTTGGTCCTCTTGAGACGCGCCACAATTCGCGCCGGACTTCAAGAGGGCCTATACCTGCAACTTTCCACGGCGTGTCTTTCAATGCGCTCTCTATGTTGATTTTGTATTCTGTTGGATTTATTTCGAGCTATTATATTTTATTTCGATTTTGTTTCGTCATCTGTCTCTTATAAAAAATGTATATTGCATTTCATATATCTCAATGTACGCGTATATTTCAATTTTATATTTCGTGTTCTATTTTTACTTATTTCAATCTACTTTTTTTTCCAATTTTGTTTTAATCTAATCCATCATATAAAATATGCAGTTTGTATTTTGCATTCGTTTGTGTTGTTCTTTGAATATTCTTTGCATTATGTAATGTGGCCACCTTCGCGTTTTTACCAACGCAACTTTAATCTCGATTCAATCTACTCTTCACCTTTTTCTAGTTCCTAGAAAAAGATAAGGAGTAAATTGAACTGAAATTAAAATTAATCTATACTATTAGAAAAAGGTATCAATATTATTGTACAATTATTTTATAATTCAAAATAGTCTACAGGTTTAATATAGTCTCTACGATCAATAAAATTGTATATAATATATTGTGCAATAATAATCGACTAGAAGTCATTTAAGAAATAGAAAAAACTGAAGGATAAATTGTACCAAGATCAAAGTTAATTCTTCGTTTGTAATCGGGATCTCGTTTGGCATAAAAAGAATTTCAGTATCAAAATTTCTGAAATAAATAAAGACGAAATTCAGAGTTCTTCCTTTTAAAATACCTTGTAGTATTTAATTGGTATAATGTAATAAAAATGTTGAAAAGTAACTCAGATATTTTCCACATTTTTTTTAAAAGCCTCTATAGAACAATAAAAATTTCAGCTGAACAAAAATGGATCAAAATTATAGACGGAGAGAGTAGAAATATGATTGTAGATAAAGGATTAATTTTTATTGGTGGAAATAAGCGTAAGTATAAGAATAACGAAGAATATAAACTGGGTCGCCATTTAAACCTACTTGAAATAAATTTATTTTAAGCGACACGATCGTTTCTTATCTCAGTTTCAATGTCGAAAACTCGTCCTGGTGCCTCACTTCCTTTCTACACACTCGTGAAAACGCTCGATATCCTGAATGGATTTGCTTCAAGTTCATCGATCACGCATCCCACGAGAACTAGTTTCTCAAATTAATATGCGAGTCGCGCGTAACAGGCGACGCAAAATAACCGGTTGACTTTAACTAGGCGCTCGCATTTTTATGCGACCTCTCACTCGTGACGTCACGAATTGCACGGTAACGTCAAAGCAGATTCCTAGTCGAAGCATGCGGCGAGATTCTTGAAGCCGCGCGATAAAATAGATAACTATTTTAGTAAAACAATTTTGTCTACATTGAAAAATCATTTCTTAAATTTAGTAATATTTTCTTGAATTGAGTACTAAACATTTATTTATTGCAAATAGATAGTTATTAAACGTGAATCTATTATTTAAGTATTACCTTCTTTTTTTTTAAATAAATATTGATTTGCAGTAAAGAAATTTTACTTATATAGTACAATTCAAAAAAATATTACTTAGGTTTAAGAAATTTTTTTGGAGAGAGTTCTTTCCTAAATATATTACAATTTATACGATTTTCCTCGACGCGCAAAACGTCGCAAAATCGAAATGTTTCGAATGTCTAAGTATCGCTATAAAGAAATTACAACGACTACGCAAAAACGTAATAGTTAATTATAGAAAACGACAATATATATGTATCTGATTGAGCGACAATTGAGCTTATAATTCAATGAGAGAGAAGGTGCGAGATGAAAGGCGAAGATTTCAATGGACTTCGAATGCGTGGAATATCGGAACCATCGGCCGATATTCACAATTCGTTCTTATTTTAAGACCTAATTTTAAGTGACGTTTTAAGATGCTAATAAAGCCCTTTAATTGGTTCGTGATACTTCAAGATTGAACTTAAGATGATCTTGAATATAAAGACTGGCTATAAATATTGGCTTCTGATTGGTTCATTACATCTTAAGATTGTACTTATAACAGTTTTAAATATAAGAATCAACTATGTATACCGACTAATAGATACTGAAATGGCAGACGATATTAACTCTGATGTACTGAGGTTGATCCATGAGATTAGAAAAAAGGACAAAATGCTGTTTCTATCTCATTTTCAGTACTTTAAGAAAGTACTAATTTATTAATAAAATTGATTAATAAAATAATTTTATTAATCGTTTAATTAATAAAATACAGATTTATAGAACCCCTGTGTCTTAACAATTTTTTGTAATTAATGTCTCAGGGATCAACCTCAGTAAAAGTGTCACTATATTTTACCTCAGTACTTCGGGACACAATTTTCGTTGCACATTATAAACGATATCACTGAAAATTGCGACCAGCTAAGACTTCGTAAGATTTTACGCGCATAAAATTAACGAAATTCGGATGCTGAACGATCGCGAGAGATATTGAGAGTTATGACGCATTCCATTACCGATCGCAATTTGAGATTTCTTGGACAGCGATACTGCGATTCTCGAAATGGCGGGCCAAATTAGATGATTAGACTCGTGCGTTTTTGTCTATACTTTTTTCGCACGTAACATAAATTATACATACTTTTCTGAAAAAAGAAGACACGAAGAATGTAAAAACAAAGACGCAATAGAGTCACTATTTGACTTCGAAATAAAAATCGAAATATTTCAACAAGTATTGAAAACGATATGAATTATTCCAAAGAATATAATTTTAGCAGAACAGGTCACGATAATATCAAAACAACAAAATGAATCGTAGTTGATCAAAAAACGAAAATAATAATTTTAAAGTTATTTTGATTATGACTTTTTATTCTGTTAAGACAGCTAACTGAATAAGAATTTCTCTCATAGAAAAAGAAGAGTTGTCTCTTAACATCTCGATCAGTAGGACAATTTCTTGGTGAGACATCGATTAAATACATAGAGGATATATTAGGTCAATAAATTGTCCTACTAGGGACATTGTCTCTTTACTGAAAAAGATCACAATAACGTCAAAGTAACGTTAAAATAATTAATCGAAAAGTGACTTTTAATTATTGCATTTTGGAAGCATTTTAATACGAAATTCCATTAATGGAAAGAAAAAATAAAAGAAAGGAACCTCTTAATATTTCGCATATGCAAAATGATAAATACAACTGCAAAGATTTCCGAATCTTTTCCATGTCCAGAAACGATTTGACATTAAAAGAAAACAAATATCTCGACTATAAGCGTTCTAATCTGTGTTTTCTCGATGTATTGTCATATTATCACAATATCGAAAAAGCCAATGTCTATAGACTATCTGCACTCGAGGAAACCGGCAATTAGCAAAGGCCGTTTAGAAGACGCAAGGTGTGATACGAGCGATTACGAGAGCACTTACGCGCTTTGCATGTTAATATTAATGGAACGTGAGATCACTCCTATCTATGTATGTAAGTGGGGACGTCAATTTTTCATGTCGCGGCACTGCGGTTCCCCTGCGTTAACTCCACTGTCACCAACGACAACCTTCAAAACCTTTTGCGAGTTGATGTCACCACTAAATAAAGCCAGTGATCCTATCGATAAATCTGCCGTTTCCTCTAAGCATTGAAACGAGCGTACGCGTGTTTAGGTATATTCGGCACGAGGAACGTACGTGTCATTATCATGCGGAATACATTATCTCAACGATCGGTCAGTCGGAGTAACGTCGCTTTTAAATCCGTGACATAACGTTAAATCGACTCAATGTCTTCCCACATATCGATCTCAACGAAAATAATCGATGTAATAAGAAAACTATGTAGTTATATCATTGTGTATGTAATAATTACAAAGATTGCGTTTGATAATATTATGCTACACATATATTGTACAATGACTAGTTTCCGTTTATAGATACGACTAAAGAAGTCCCTAGACGCTCAAATCTTATTGTATAATTATTTTGTACAATATTATTGAGACCCTGTTTAAATAGTCTGAAGGTTCAGTATAATCCCTACATAATCAATAATATTGTACACAATAATATTGATCGTCCAAGAGATGCAGATAATCAGTGTTAGGCCGTAAGTGTTACATACATTGTCACATGGAAAAAAATGATATTATATTAACAACATTAGCCGACAATAGTTTAATTGAAAATAATCTGGTTTGTGCAATAACAGTATTAATGAAACGAATCACATTTTCATTATAATAAAAAAATCCATGTGTACCACGAAGTATGTTGAGAGATTGATTTTGATATATCTAATTTGATAGATATAAACGATTACATTGAATCTACAATAAATGATAAAATTGTGAGATTATATATTATTTGGGATGTGCCAACGGATACAATGTTTCGACCACGAACACGGCAAGAAAATCGATCGAAAAAGAATTGTTACTAAATACTATTATTATTAAAATATTATAGCAAAAAAAACAATTAATTTAATATTTAAAATAATCAAAATAATATTAATAAATAAAATTAATGAAAGATATGAAAGCGTAGCGCGCGTTACGTGCTAGTTATTTAAAAAAAAATCATGATGTATTTCTTTCATGCTGTTATTGAATTAATAAGATTTTCAATTAGATTACTGTTGGTTAATGTCGTTAATGCAACATCACTTTCCTGTATATAGTAATACATCATTTTTTATTGTATTCTTTATATATATTAGGGACGGAATTAGATTTATTTCACATCGTGGATACGTCCATGGTAATTTCTAAGCTTAACTAAACATGCTGAATCTTCGCGCTTTTCTGTCCTCCTTTAACTTTCTTATTATCCACAGCGGTGACTCTCCAAACGAGTTCCAAGTTCTCGCGGGTCGCGCTAATCTCTTTCTGCAATCGTCCAATCGTTTCCTCTTTTTGCTTCAGCAAATGCTTGAAGCGTTGCAGTTCTCGGTGATACTCGTCCTTCATTCGATGCACTCCGAGCTGTTGCACTTTCATATTTTTCTCTGCCAGCGCTATTTGTTGCTTAGCACCTTCGTGTACAATCTGATAATATTTGATTGTAGTAAAAAAATATATATAAATTAATATCATTTCCTTTCTTCAAAATGACACAATTCGAAAAATTTAGTCTTCCAAAAAAGAAAAAAACTGTTTTTCAACTTGACAGAATTACTGATCAAATAATAAATATCAACGAAAAACAATGCATTCTTAACATGATCAAATGTCATTTTTGTCGTTATTGAATTTGACAATCCTTAAAAAACATCCTTTTTATGATATTGATATTTTAATAATTTCTTTTAAACCATCCTTCTTAAGTTTTGACAATTTTTAAAATAAAATTAAGTTAGAGTTTACCTTTGATAAATGATAGAGTAATGTGTGTGTTTACGCTTTATACCTACCTAATTTTCATTCATAACAATAACTCGAAAATCATGGTTTTTTAAATTATTATTTTTCAAGCAAAGAATAATGATAAGATATCTTTCCTTCATTACATACCTTTAATTGGTCTTTTAGGTGACCTACTCGTTGAGTAATAGTATCGCCGAGCAAATGGATACTTGCATTTTCATTTTCTGTTTCTTGTAAAAGTTTCATTAATTTATCCCGTTCGGCGGCTATTCTTTCATATTCACTGAATAACTCTTCGCAATATAATGTAGTCTTTCTTAATTGTTTCTTAAAGGAATCTCGAGATACTTGCATGGAATGCGCAATTTTTTGAAAATGCTCCAATTTATGCTGTATACGTCTAAAAAAATTAATAATTTAAATATGTTATATTTATTTTATAATTTTTAATTCATATCTATTAGTGCAAAACACACACACACACACACACTTACTTCAAACGTTTCTCAAAACTTTTATTCAATCCTTTCAATTGATTTCTTTCAATCGTAACTACATCCAGTTGACTTTTATTTTGGCTGTGGAATTCCTCTAATTCTTTAATGCGAGTGGAGAGTTTTTCTTTCTCAGTTTCATATTGACGCTTCAATTTATCAAACAGTTCTCTGCATTCTTCGACGGCAGCATTATGAACATGAACAGGCATAGTTTTTGTATTATCATTTTGCAACTTTTCATGTTCCTTGTGAAGAATATCATATTTTCCCTGAAGATTACTCAATTCAGTCTTAGAAGCGAGACATTCCTCGTGAAGCCTGTTATTATCAAATGACATTGCCCCAACTTTCTGTTCGTACAATGAATGGATCTCGTGTATCTTTTGCTTTTGGTGAGCTGTCTGTTTCGTATAACACTCGTTCAATTCCTTGAGCAAGTCAGCATCTTCGGATATCATCTTGATTTCATCTGCGTACCTGGTACACTAGAAAACTTTTACTACAATAATTTGTAAGATGCATGACAATCTTCTCTTATAAATATAATACCTTTGATTTCAACTGCTCCATTTCATTCTGCATACATTCATTCTCCATGATAACTTCTTTGCATCTGGTACTAAAATTTGCGATGTCCTCTTCGTATCTATTTACAAGCTCTTGTTTCTCCGACAGGCTCTCTTGATAAGCGTCTAAAAGTGGGCCTAGCACATGCGTATTCACCGAACCCCAAGATTCTGACACTGTTTTGATATCGTCTGCCTGTCTTTTAGAGTCTAATATATCATTAACATTTTTAGGTAAAACACTTTGTCCAGATTCTTTTAACTTATTTTGATATCTTTCAAGCTCTGCATTCAATCGATATATTACATGCTTAAGAAGCAGTACATCTTCATTTAACTGAACATTTTCAGCCTTACATCTTTGATTAAATGTTAGAAGATTGGAATTGGTTTTTTCTACTTTTTGTAAAACTTCTGTAAATTTCTTGTGATGCATTTGCAACTGATTGTATTCTGTTTCACGTTCTGCCAAAACAGCATTTACTTTCTCATATTCTTGTTGTAAGTTGTCATGATTTTTCAATAATTTCTGATACTTGGTGTAAACTTTTGATATTAAGGAATCCTTTTCTTTTAATTCTGCAATAGTCTCTGAAATTTTATAAAATATTTTCTTGATTGCTCATTAGAAACAGATATTATTTATATAATAAAGTACGAAAGCAGTTTGATGAGTCAGTAACTTCTTTTTTAACAAAACAACTTGTTTTTCTCAACATGGTCTTCTTTTAAAAAGTCATTGACTTATCAAAGTTAACTGCCCTCATATATTATCATCATGAACTTACCAGGGCTTATATTAAAACTTTCCAGTTTCATTGTTAATATCCGATTTTCTTCAGCTAATCTGTCAAGTTTCTTTTGAATGTTATGCTTACTACTTTTTTTAGACACTGTAACACCATTGCTATTTTCATTTTTATCTGACAATTCTTCGAATTCTCCATTAACTCTTGAGTGGCGTCTAGCTCTGTGGAACCGTCTGTAACGTAGTGGTTTATGCACTGGTTCCAATTCATTTTCTGTGATTGAAACCTTATGACTACTGCGCTACAGTTACAATAAAATCAGATGTTAGAAGATGTCATTATAGAATCCTTTTTATTTCAATGAAGAGGTACAGCCTTGTTAAAAAATATCAAGCACTTATTATTTTTTTATTTATCTGGAATTCTACATTGTTATTTGTTGATGATATTATACATAAGTTTAAAAGGTTCTTGAAACAAAGGATTACATTTTACAGCAAATCCAATAAATAAATTTTTGAGCTGAAACTTTAAATAATGATTAATAAAATGTTTAATATTTTTGGCCAAGACTGTAGATAGATAGCTATATAGCATTTATTAACGTTCTATTCCTCCAAAAGCATACAAAGAAAACGAAATAAAAAAAACCATATAATAAAATAAAATAAAAAAATAATATATGAAGAAAATAATAAAGAAACGCGGTAGTATTTGAGACATTTGTATGTACAACCTACCTTTTCTCTATGCCTGTCAACACTGTTGTCGCGATTTGGCATTGTCTGCGATTACTCCAAAAACGTGCATGTGACAGACAGCAGTAAAAAATTTCAGAAAGCCATCTGTACATGCGAATTTTATGTTATCGGCGTAAACACGTAATATTTTGAATCGAACCAACTCGAAACAGGCTCTTTTAGTTTCGAAAGCTTCCGGTTCGTTTGTGTTTTGATCACAGCCATGACTTTGACCACCATGGTAACCAGCACGGCTCCTATACTCTACAGTGTTATCTGAATGGACTGTGTTCGTAAACGTACTCGGATGCCCCTTCCTCTCACCAATGTATCATCAATCCTTGTTTAATATTGGATGAGCAACAAGGATAAAATGATATATCGAGACACACCGGTAAAGTTTCCGAATCAACCCAAACAGCCGAAGTTACACTAGCGCCAGTACATCCAGCTTCGATTTGAGATTTGAGAACTACGTAGCTATATACTGATGATAAAATTAAAATTAATAAATTAAAAAAATTCTGTTAACAAACAAATTTGTTATTTAACATGCTTATTAAATTGAGTTTTAAGGTATTTTCACGAGCCGCTTTCTGTAGGCCGTTTCAGCGACAAAAAGGATCACGTAGTCAAAATTGACGAATACCAAAAGCATCAATAATTTTAATCACATGATCCTTTTTGTCTCAGAAACGACCGGTTGGAGCAGCTCGTAAAAATGTATCTTTTATCTAAGAAAGATTCTGAAAACATTAGTGGTAAGAAAAAAAATTAATATTGACGCGGTTCTCTCTTTTTTTTAATTTAGCGTTTGTAACACAACTAGATAATTTTATGTAATGTTTTATCTTTATATTAATTGCACTAATAATATTTTTATTACATTGATACTTTATTATTACTTTAAATTATTAAAAAATAAAAGTTTCATGTTCAGAGAATTATTTCAATAGAAATAATTCTCTGAACTAGCCATGATTTTATCGACAGAGTCAGAAAATGGATGTAGCTACGTAGTTCTCAAACTGAAAATTAATGTTATACATACTAGCGATAGTACGGGCGATCTCGATGGTAATAGAAAATTCTCTGATACTGACAATAAAATTGATAATGCAATTTATATCTCGAAAAACAGACAATGTTATAATCGCAATTTAATATTTAAAAAATATAAACTTTTTTTTAATACGCCTTTTAATTGAGTTTTATAAGTATATAAGTTTTACTATACATATAATTATAAAAAAGATTCTGAAAACATTCATGATAAGAAAAACATTAATCAAATTTTGTAACTATTATACATACACATGAATAACAATTATAGAAATAATTATGGAAACGTTCGTGATGTCATCTTTTACTGGAATACTAGTTTGGAAAGTTACTGAAATAATAAAATGTTATTTAATTCAATGGATTGAGTTACCGCGTTGCTCCTTTGATATCTAACAGCCAGTACATAGTGCTTTCTGACTCACAGTTAGATGGCAACTCATAGCAAATTAACATTATTGGCAACAGACCGTCAGTTAGTCAAGCGTCAAGCTAACAGGAACAATTGTAGCGCGAATCAATGAAAGCCCGCGACACACATGTGCGCGCGTATGCATATTTCATTCAAGTTCATTCAACGTGGGGCCTGCTGAAAGCCTACCGGGGACAAGAAGAGGGAATTGCCATTTATAATAAAATTGCTCCAACTATATACCTACACATATGTTCAACTTATTCTTGCACAAACTTACGGCCACGCTGCCGCAGAAGCGACACTCTCTCGCTGATTTCGTAACTTTGCAAAACTATGCGCAATCTTTACAGAAATTTAATACTGGAAGATATATATTAATTATTTATTTTATGAATTAAAAGCATTGAATAATAATTTTTGAATAAGTTAGTTTTAGGTATTTCATAGAATTATAAAGAATGATGAATGCGGACAATTGTGAGCGTTACTTGACTAATATTTAATAATAATATTTAATAAATAATATTTAAAAATTACATCATATATAATAGTAAATATAGTTACGATAATCGATCGTAAATTGCTCTATTTCTTTCAAAATGTGAACAATATTCCTGGTAAAATTTTTTTGTTAGAATTTTTTACATAAATTTTAAAATTTTTAGAATTTCTGTATAATTTTATAACTTTGTAGAGAAAACTCAAATTTTTTTATATAAATTAAAACGCTTTACAAAAATTCTAAAAAATTTTTTTTTAGAATTTTTCACGCATATAAAGAAGTAAATTCTAAAATATCCTATGATTTTCATTTTGTAATTTCGAAAGAAAATTTATAAATTAAAAAAAAATTTTGAATACTTTTTTTTAGAAATCTTCATAAAATATGACAAATTCTTTTAAAAATATTATGAGACTTTATGAATATTTTTTTTACCGGAAGTCAGTTATATGATTCATTATTTTGTTCAACTCGTCCATTTTTAATATATACTTATACATAAAATATACGGGCGTTTTAAATTGCAATAACATCAATGAGACTAAATCGCTTATTGACTTCGGTAAAAAGCTTAACTCATTCCTGTAGCATGTTTCTATACATTTGCTTAGACTTACGATATATGATGACAACCGCAATGCGGGTCTTCATAAATGACTACCTATTTCTAAATTTATCATATAATGTCACTTTATTACACGACGATTTGATAGCAAATCTGAATTTCGATGCCAAAGAAACTATAATCTATGTACCTCCACAAGAGAGAGGATAACAAAATTGGGAGTATGTTTTAGAGGAAAATGTCTTGATTACGCAATGATGATGACAGCTGTAGCGTTGTAATAATTTATTCTTGAAATACTGTTAAGTAACACAACCGCAATCAACTTTTAAAATAATTATTCCTATTTCCGAGATAATTTCAACACGAGTGCTTTTGTTGTCTCGCTCCAAAAGCGAGTTGGAAAAGCACTAATTAAAGAATATATTATTTCACACACACAACGTATAAAGCCCTTGTGAATATGTAAGATCTATGACGCAAATGGAACGTAAAAATAAATTAAAAAATGTTATTGTTAAATTATACAATGCATCTCTCTCTTTTTTCTTGTATTACCTGCAATAATAAAGAAACGTTAAAGCTTATATACAGTTGCTGATAACGAACTGTCCTTTTTACAGTTGGACTCCTTGTATCATTTCATTTTATAATATCAAACGGCTTATTTCATCAAACCTGTAACTATTCTGGACATTTAAAACCTGGTACCATTTATTATGTATACAATTCTGACTACCCTAACGTTTCTAACGGCCGACAATACTGCAGGTGGTTTGCGGAAAGTGATTATCGCATTAGATTAACGTGCAATAATTTCAACATACCGTGGGTAAGATTTATAATAGAATTAAACATGATTACTAAAAGACATTTATTACTACAATCATCAGTTCGTAATTCCATGAAAAGAATAATATTTAATTTTTTAATGTTCAATTAGTTAAAGCAATATTAAAATTTATCGTTTTATCCGTTACTAATTAAAATTACAGATTTTTATGACAATATTTATGTAGAACATTTCTTCCACAGAATTTTAAATGCACCTTGGATAGATTAACTGTATATGTGAATGATTCCTTAACTCGATATTATTGCGGCAATGAACCATTTAGTATCGAATCGACAGGAACATTCATGACTATTGAATTATCAACTCCATTTTGGTCATCGGGAGTAAAGTTCCTGTGTGAGCTGCAAACGATCGAAGAAATAGTAAATAATGATGATTGTTGCAAATGTGGATGGAAAAAGCCGGTATGCATAATTAATAATAACGTGATAAAAAATTTGATGTATGTATGTAATAATTCCTCCGAGTTTTTCGTTCTATTTATAATTGTATACATTACAGACCAAAATAGTGGGAGGTATGGAAACTGGTGTGAACGAATATCCTATGATGGCTGGTCTTGTTGACCTTTTTGAAAAGGATGTATTTTGCGGAGCGACTATCATATCCAAAAAACATGTATTAACTGCTGCACATTGTTTGATAGATACAGACCCAAGTACTGTGAACATACTTGTAGGAGATCACGATCTTACCACGGGTAAACACTTTTTCAAAAACAAATTTTTCTAAAAGAATATTATATTTTCCTTTTTATTGCCTTATGTAGGGATTTTCCTCTTCCTATTTCTCTTTCTACTACTTCTCGACAAATCTTGTCTCAGTTCTCTTACTATCGTTGCAATTGTTCTTATTATCAATGTCGATCTATTCACATGCATTCTGGTTAGTAACAATATTTGCTCGCTATTTATTATTACTTTATTATTTCTATTTTCTTTTTTGTAATTTTATCGCATAATTATTGTTATTATTACTTTAATATTTAAACGAAGTACAAATTAGATATTTATAGTTTAAGCAATTAAATATAATACAAATATGTATATAATATAATACTGTAAAATATAATACATTTATATTTACAAATATATCTTTGCAAATCTTATTTATAAAATGTTCTGAATAATCTCTCTCTTTATCCGATTGCTAAAATTATATATTAGATAAAAAATATCTTAGGTACCTTTTTAGCGCTTTAATTATGAAGTGCTTTATTATGATAACCGAATTTTTTTTAATATTCCAGGTGCAGATACGAATGCCTCGCGCCTTTACACTATAGCCAAATTTTACATGCATCCTTTATATAATATTCAACCCCCACAAAATGATATAGCTATAGTAATGGTGAATTCTGTTATAAGTTTTAACGAAGAAGTCGGACCAGCTTGTCTTCCGTTTCAACATCAGTTTGATTCCTTTGCAGGAAGTAATGTGGTTTTATTGGGTGAGGCAATATTATGATAACAGCAATTGTTATCTAAATATAATATTTAATGTATTTTCAAACCTGTATAAGTATCAATTATTTCATATAGGTTGTACAAACAAATTTTGATCCGTTTATTTCGATCGAAACAGGTTGGGGATTGACCAACTATTCACAAATGAAGTCAAATGTTTTACAGAAAGTTACAGTAGCTGTGATCACGAACCAGGAGTGTCGTAAAGAGTATCCAACTATTACAAATGATCATATATGCACTTATACGGAGGGAAAAGACGCATGTCAAGTAACGTCGAAAATTCTGCAGAAATTAGACAAAACAACAGATCACGATGATATCAAAATTACATTAAAATAAGTCAATCAAAAAATTACTTTTAATTTAGATAGCACGAAATATTCTAAGAATATTTTTATAAAATACTAGTATTCTTAATTACGAAAATATTTGAATAAAATGTTCTTTTATTGAGAATATAGGAGTATTTTTAATAAATATTTATAAAATATTCATTGAATGTTGTATGCAAATAATCATTTTAGAGTCATTTTGATGTCATTATTATTTTTTGTTTTGCTTGCAGAAAAAATGCCCTTTTATGTTCGCGGCTACAATTTTTGTTTCAGTTTGACAGCGGCGGTCCCGCTCTTTGGCAGAATCCTACGACAAAGCGGGAGGTTCTCGTGGGTATTATCAGTGGCGGAATGGGTTGTGGCGGTAGTAATGCAGGAATTAACACGCGTGTCGGCGCGTACATAGATTGGATCTTGTCTGTAACATCGGGTAAGTGCATGAAGTGTACAATGCGTCATGTATGCATTATCGTCTCATTGAGAGAGCATTTATTCTATGAGATTTATATCTTCTTACAGATATCAATTACTGCATGTCTGAATAAGAAGGTTGCAAACAAGAGAATGTATAAAAATATAATTTATTTTTACAATTTGTTATTTTACATTTTATTCCGACTTACTGTATAGTATATGCTATTTATATGCAATATGCTTTTTTAGATTGTTATGTTTTTTATATGATTATCTCATTTTCATGTAATTTTACGTATTAATTTATGCCAGTTATAATATAATGCTTTTGTCACATATGTATAATATTCGACATAATATTAATTTATGGACTAAAATGCGCATATTTATTTTTAACGCTGTACGTCAGAATATATTCATTCGTATTAATCAAAGTGCTACAATCAATCTGAATTATATACATAATAACAAACAACAGATGCACGTCAAACAGCTTCAAGCAAATATTTATAACAATATATTTTGACGTGTGCACACATACCAGTATACACACTTGTGTCCCAAAATAATTGGATTTACTTATTCATTGAAAAGAATTGCGGAACACAAATTGTATTTGACGCTTCATATAAATCTCATTATTTCACCCGGGATATATTTGAGCACGCTTATCAGAACTTTGATTGTCCTTAATAAAGATTTCCATGGTATAGAAGGATCAACATTAACGGCTCGTAAACAATGTCTCATTATTAATAAATTCCTGAATGAGGATGTGACGTGAGACCGTCTATGGGAGGGAATGGTCTATGGTAAGCGACCACTTACACTGACCAATGTAGTATCACATTAGCTAACTTGCCATGGCGTAGTACGTACTGAAGATTTATGTCACGCTCTCTTACTGTGGGAGGTATAGAAATAAAATATGCAATATCATAATATCAATAAAAATATATATCTATATATTTATATAAATGTTCTAATAAGACTGTAGGAAACAATCGAGGACTACTGATTTTTTGTCGTAGAAACTTATTCGCGCAAACTGCCATTTCATTTTACTCACTTTGTATCTAAACAAATAATATTGAAATCAAGATAAATAATATTTTTATCATTCTGATACATATGTACTATTGTATTATACGAATGTTATATTGTAGCCAATCTTTTTTACGAACGCGTATTAGTATTAATAATAATAGTTTTGTGATCGTGCCATACATTTATTAAATAAATTGATTTCATTGATATATATTGTAGTAATGCATCCTTGACACAATTGTTGACCCAATGATACGCGAATAGATATTCTTCTTATTGTGATGGAACTCTGATATGAAAAATTGTTTACGAGAAAATATGTTTCTCCTACGAAGAAAGTAGTAAATACTTAATATTATCAAATAAATTGTTGATAAAATCAATTTTGAATAGAGAACTAGAAAGTCTGTAATAGTTGATACTACTTTATGTATATTTTATGTATATCGTTAAAAATATAATAAAGAATTAAATTTAAACTAATTCCTTAACTTGAAAAAGAAAACATTTTATTTTTACCTTTCAAATGTCAAAATATATTATATAGTAGTTAAAAAAACAATCGAATCAATCCATTTCAACTGATCTGATATCTAATTGTTTAGTTTCAAAATAAACAACGTCAATGCAGATTCACGTATGATGCATTTGGTAAATGATAAAGTAATTTTAAGTCAAATTAATACATTTGTTGGGTTAAATTGTTTAATTTCGTTGTTTTGTTTAAATTAACGATATTATTGAGGCAACCTATAAGAATGATAAAAAACAATTCAAATTGGATATCTACATTTTGACACTATGATTTAAGTGTAACTTTATGAACTTGACGAATCGAAAATGTTTTTAATTATTACATATTTACCTTTTTATTTTTTTCTAAAAAAATTTGATTAAGTAAGATACAATGGTCAGTGTCAAGTATCAAATATTTCGTCGTGAGAATTTTCGTAGAGTATGCCTGTTACCGGTTTGGGGTCCGTATAATCCACGTTTACTTCTAAGGGATGCGGTACTATTCAGAATAATAGTACGAAAATGCTTTGGATCAAGACGCGTAGAAAGAAGTTGAATGACCATTGTGAGGATGGGTTTGTACATACAATACCACTTCGTATACGACGCTAGATGGATGGTAAAGGTACAAGCGTATAGGTACCTATGTCTTTATCCTGCATGCGAAAGATGTGCACAGTAAAATATGAGATCGGTGATCTATTCACCGTGAGCTCTTCACTTCTGACACGTGTATTTCAATTCCTGTGGGGGTAAAAAGAAATAAAGCTGGACTCTTGTAAACAGGAAGAAAGGTCGCACGTATCCTGTGCGTCATTCGGTGCGAACATCATCGTCATTCGGTTGTCCACCACATTCAGCGTAGTGTATTGAACAGCAAGGACATATATTACTTATTACGTGCACGCGTCATTATATTGTATAACGTTGTTCCAAATAGTCTATTCTGCCGGCAATTCGAATTATTTGCAGCAACAGCGAACGTTGTTAGAGTCTGTGTACATGACATAAATTATTAACATAAAAATACAGACTATTATTATAGAAGGAATTGTAATAAATGCTATTTGCGGAATACATAACGTCATTAAAATAAATTTTACAAACACAAAGCGACAAATAGATATTATATATATGTATCTACATTATTATTTTATTTATTTCAAGAATTTAACATCCTCTCTAATGTCATTAAAACATATACCTCTACAAAAATGTATTATCTCCATGTATATATTGCATTATGATATATTGTACATAAAATGTATAATACTATATATATATATATATATATACATATAATATATACATAATCTGACGAGCTCGTATAATTTAATATATTTCTTGGTTAATACTTTGGCTGTCTGAATTGATTTGTAGGCAGACAATTGCTTTCAAGGTTTACATGATATTATGCAAGCACCACTCGCGACATTGGCGTACCATAATCAGTGCAGGTGTATCGGCGAAAAGAAAGATAGGCGATATCTCGGATTTCTAAACGATTCAACGCTCAATGCTGAAAGATCGCATAACCAAGCACATTTTCTGGAATACTTTTTCAAACATTTTACATTTCTACTAAAAGTTTCGTTAAATCATATGTGAAGATCAAAGTTTATTCGGTGTAGAATCAAAGCAGATATGTTACGAGAGTCATTACACTCATTACTGTCATGTATTTAACACGGTTATGAGTAAGTAAGTATATCGACTAATGTTATTTGATGCAAATCAGGTAAACGGTGATGTACGGATAGGCGGATAGTAAAGAACTCGAGAACAAGGTCGAAAGGTTACACGACCGCTTACGTAACTCGATAAAGCTATACTGACTGACCCGCCTCTATGCCACATATGTATGTATAAATACAAGCTTGGGTAGGTCTTGTGAAACGTTTTGTCGTCTAGAGATGATAACTATAGCATCGAATGACGTCACGGAATGATCGCAACCGTCTTTGATCACTGACGTCACAAGCTTGCCAGGAATCTAAAGAATTTGACGAAGGAATAAAGGACAAAATATCATTTTGATTACAAATAATATATGAATAAAATACAAAAATTGATACAATAAATATACGAGAAGAAAAAAAAAGATTAATTTATTTTGCTCCTAGTCGAAACTGAGAAATAACCAAAGTCATCATGGCATTAAAATGGCTTCAAAACAATTACTAAAAATCACTTCTCAAAACAGTTACGGTTTGTTTTAACATCTTTTTGACGTCATTACTTGTTGTTCTGTTCCAATAATCGTCTTCAATTCATTTCGAGATATTTAGAGACGGTTGATCTTAATTCTCTAAGGATTTGTGCTACGCAATTATCTTAGAGAGATGTTGTTATCGAAAACAAGATGAGAGAGAGAGAGAGAGGGGGGGAGGGAGAGTAGTTGGGAATTAAAATGCTGGATGTAGAGGGGATGCTTAATTATGAGGGTGCTTTCGATCGAAGCGGTTACGACGGAAACAGTGACGCGTGGGAAGCTGCGCGTATCTGTACTACCCTTTAGTAGAACAACAATCCGATCGATGAGCCGGTTTGTCAGTTTTGAATTACCCTCACCAGAAGAACCCGCCAAGTTCAAACGCACCGTGTTGAAACGCGCGTCATTGAAATGTAAACAACAAAGGAAAACATTTTCATTATCTTAGAGTGCTAAAAGATCAATAGGAATATGCACACAAAGCTATTAGCGATGCGTTTTAATAACGATTTACGACGCAAATTAATGGATAGCGGTTTATCTTTAAATTTACACTGGCGCGCGTCATCCATAAGCGGGCTTCGTTGAGAAAAGCTGGCTAAGCTTATCAGATGAACCGTTAACATAAGAATTGATCAAGATGCTTAATTATTTTCAAAATCGTATTTCTCTATTAATGTCAATGTGTATAATTAAATGTACAATAGAATTACATACGAAATTTAAGTATTCCTTGTACAGGAAGAACGATTTTGTTGAGATATTAACAAATTCAGCTAGATGTAAATTAAAAATAATTTTGTTAGACCACATCAGAATGATTACAAGGGAATTATTCAAGCATGATGAGCAGTGCGGTAAAAAGTTGACATTCTAGCAACAAATTTAAGTGTCTTACGTTTATTATTTTGATAGTCTGACAAACTATTTTGAGATCTGTATCTATATAGCTAAATTTTTTAATACTTAAAAAAAAATCGTTCTTTTCGTATAGAAGAAAAAAATCACGTTTCAATGTTTTAAATATTTCCACCCTATTTCATACATCGTTACATATTCTGATCTATAACTGCTCTATAATGTGATAAAATAATGATGAAACGTATAGTCGGAATTACATCCGTATATTATCTGTATTAAATAAAATTGGAATTTTTCGTGAAAGAAAAAACCGCGCTTTGGTGTCTCAAATATTTTCACCCCATTTCATACAAACGATTACCTCTTCTATAATATAATAAGATAACAACGCTCGCGCTACCCGGCTCTTCACCGTTTAAAAGGGGTCGGTCGGCTGGCGTATGCGCGTACGTACACAATTACCACGGCCAATCGGGGAACCGGACCACCGGTAGAACGAACCTTCGTCGTATTGTGCAGACGTCGATGTCGCTCCAGAAGTTCCCGTTCTGTAGGTCCGTTCCCTCGCGCACATCGTCGCGCACTAGCGTCGGCTCAGTCCGATATCGACGTTCGTACGAGGCGCATTATTCACCAAGCCACCGCGCACGGTGTGAAATTTTACGCGGGCTTCTGGCCGTCCGCGTTTTTCTCGCATTTCCTATACTGACGGAAACGAAAAGTTAGAGCAACGAGGTGCAAACGAGGAAACGGATACTGATTGTGAGCACGACGCGGTGGAGTGAGGAGTGGTATACATGGGTACCAAATGTCTCAAAAGTCTTGCTCTTCTGCAACGATACACGCGTGTCCGCAGCGACGTCAGTCCGACCCGTCCGAAGATTGCCAAATTTAAGTAATAAACTGACAGATCATAAATTCTCTGATACCAAATTTGAAACAACGATAACGACGACGACGACGACGACAACGGCGACGACGGCGGCGGCGACGACGACGACGACGACGACGACAACGACGACGACGACGACGACGACGAAGACGGCAGCAGCAGTGGCGACGACAACGACGAAAGGAGCAACACTGACGTCGGCGATCACGTCTTCCTCGCGCACAGAGTTGGACCGAAGGAGACCAACTATGATTCTGGATTCATGACTTCCACCCACATCGACCCGCAAACGGCAGCGACTTAAAGGAATCCGACTTATGAAGCGAAAACAAAGCGAGAAGACTGCTGACGCTGATTTCGACTGTAACTGAAGAGGCACTAAAGAGAGTTTAAGGGCTGACAAGAACCACCTTCTGTGAAAATCGAGCTCCCAAACGTTGTATCACCGTTGCTTCGAGGATCCAAAAAAATTAGAATCTCTCGTCCCTCTTTCTTTTATCCCTTTCTATCTCTCTTCATCCCTCTTTCGTCTTTTTCTCTCCTTTTCTCTAACGTTCTCCCTCATTTCAATGTCTCACTTCCGCGCAGAGGATCGATCGATATTTCGTCCCGACGGCGGCTATTAACGACACGCGTACTTTCATTCGCCTCCCTCTCTCGCTCCGTTTTTCGCGCTACGATTGCTTCCAAACATAACGTTAAGTGCGCCAACCCTTTTGCAACCACCCGGTCGCTTCTTCCATCAATGTCGGATAACGCGAGTTAAAATTCCGCGTCGTATCCCTTAACCCTGTTAACAGCGTAGCTCTGTAGCACGTGACCCATTGGTTTCCTCGTAGCGTCGTTCGTCAGCCGGCGCTCGATTTTTATCGGGACGCCTACGTGCCACCCACTCCATTTCGCGAATAGGACCTGTCCTGTCCTATCCCGTATATATATATATATATATATATATATACGCGGTCGCGTATGCGTCCGCAAACAGTCAATAAAGAGTACTATCGGAGCACATACGTATCAAAAAGAAGAAACCAACGGAACTCGAACAAGAAATCATTCCCTTCGTCGCCGGGAAGGGGTGTATGCGTAATATTAAGAAACAAATTGTTGCTGGTTACTTCTCGAGGAGGGAGAGACCGATCTCAGTATTTTTTCGGACGCCATAGTGCGGACGCTGGTTAACATTACGAATAAATAGTGAAGAAATAACTATACTGTTGATACTGTTGTTATATTGTTATATTAACTTTATTGTTATCCCCGTTATTGCTGTACGTCCGCTGCTCATCCGCTCCCGCTGAAGTCGATGAACAGTGTGGCGGTCTATAGTGGTATAGTGATATCAGTGAGGGGTACGTGAGCCCGAGACGGTATATAGATAACGATAAGCGTGCTTCTGCCCAATTGTGTGGAAAAGGAGAGAAATTGAAGGGAAGGAAACCGGAATTCCCTTTAATTCTAGGCTTTATACGAATATCTATTAAACGGTGAGACCGGGATCCGTGTGTGTACGCGGGAGAAAGGAAATAAACAGGAAGCGGAGAAGAGAAGTGCGTTGGGGTCGCGCACCGGGTGAGCTTGGCAAACAAAC